ATAATTTTATCTGATTTTTTAATATTTCATGAATAATCTTCTGGTAATTAGTTAATTTACCACAAGACAATAGTATATGATTATTCTTAAGTACTATCAATACAAATATTCTGGATTGAAAAAAAATCGACTTATTTATTAACAAGTTTCGAAAATTAGTAAATAGATATTTAAAATTAATCGCATTTTAATAACATGTTTTAACGTGATAACATCTTAAGTATATTAATCTTGTTAACTTAGTAAATGTTCAAATTGTTTAAACACTAATTGGTTTAATAAGTTATGGTCAATAAACTAATAACTGGTTTGAAAAACTGTGAACTGATTAGGATTTAGATTAGCTAATGTATTTACAACAAATATAGTTGGAATGTAAATCGAAATATATTGAGGTCAATTTAATCGATTATGTGTATGCAATTTTATACAGTGTGAAGTAGTAATAAGCTTAATGACATCATAATTATGTTTATTACTCATATATCTTCTCTAAAGGTTTCAAGTCACTTTCGCCCACACATAAGTGTTTCATGTATTTACTCTAAGTTATTAATTTTTATTTTTTCTTTATTTAATTAGCTATTATTTTAATACATCAATTACATTTTCCGAATAGAAAAAGATAAAACAATTTTATCATTGCTAAATGCAAATTTTCAAAATAATACTTAACAAAAATAATCATTATACCTTGTATTTTGTTTTGATAATTCGACCCCATTTTGTATTTGAATTTATTAAACTTAATTTTGGAATGTTCACATAAATTAACATTAACATTTGCAATAACAGAATTAATTTAATGCATTTTTTTTCCATTTTCATTTAGGCATCAATTAGTTAATACACGATTCTTCCTTTTAAACATTATATATACATACTATTATAAAAAATGTTTGTAGCGTTAACGGTTAGTGCAACTAACAAAACTTTATTAAATAAACAAATGATACGGAATGAACATATACATGAAATATGAAACACAGTCTCTATCTTAAATTATGATAAATCTATAAATAGAGCAAAAAATGTCATAAACTTGCCGAAGAAGAAGTTTATGTTTCTAATGTTTTATGGTAAAGCATCGCCGGTATTAATTTTTTTGCATATTATTTTTATATATTATTAACAGAACTAATAGTTCTTTTTGCTTGCTTTTGTTCTATAAGCTTTTTATGCTGTTTTCCTTATGACATGGCTTTATAGATGACAACCCAATAATTCACCTTACACCTTACTTTTTTGATAGATTTATTATTAGAATTACTCTTATACTGATGGCTTATTTTGGATTCAGCAATATCGGGTAAGGAATATTTTCACTAGAAAACATATTTCTTTCCCTATTTTCAAGTAAACAAAGTTTACTACCGCTTGATTTCAAGCTGTCCTACGCAGAACTTCCGATTGACTAAAAATCCATAAGGTCTAACTTCTAATCAATGGGAAACTCCATGTTCTAAATTAGTAAAAAACTAGTTTTGCATGGCGTCGTGACTTAAGGCAAATTGCTGGAACCTTCCGTACCTAAAACTAAATTATTAGAAAAAAAACTTTACAAAACTTTGAAAAAAAATGAGATTTTTGAACTTTTTAAAAAAAAATGACTTTGAAAAAATAGTTTTTATATATTTTGATTTTTTTTGTATTTTGAATATTTTTTTAAGCAATGTATGACAGTATAACTGATTTGAAGTCGAAATATCAAAGCGCGTAAGCGCCGCGTAGTTGTCTAACCTGTAAATATTGGTACGGAATCCATATAAATGTACACAAAATTTATACTGATTATTATAATCTTTATAAAATATCTAATAGTACGATGTACATCTGTCTAATATTTATTTTGACCGCCAAATGGCATTATTTTTTACTTTTTTAATTGGATATCCGGAGACGCTGGACCTGTCTTAACAAAAATTCGCCAGTTGTTCATTTCGTCAATACAAGTAAAATATTTTTTGAATTATTCAAATCGGACGCTTCGTTCTCTCGAAAACTGAATTAACGTTTTTGGTTCTTTTTGTCCCGTATCTTCGAAACGGGTAGACCTGCCTATGCCAAAACTAATCAGCACGTCTCCTTATCAATACGAATCGAATGTTTTTTAAATTATTCAAATCGGTTAATCCGTGTTCCCGAAATCGTCGACCAAAATTTGTATCCGCACACACACACGCGAGCGCAGGCACGTCACACACACATAAATCCATTTTTTTTAAGGTATGCCAAAATGGGATATATAAACATTTTCATTTAAAATTTTATTGCGATTACTATAACATTCCCTACGAAGTTAAAATTTATAACGCTATTCTATCTGCAGGTTTTATTCAGTTAATATATGTTCAAATTATATTTCATTTTCCGTTCATTTTCTGGCGGCTCTTGCTAATAATAGATATAAATCTCTTTTTGTTCTTGCTATTAATGAAATGAATAATTTACTTGATTAATTTATTTTTTGTTGAAAAAAGTCAATAATCCTTAAACAAAAGACGCATCCAACAATATAAAGAAAATAGTATGTATATTAAAGAAATCATTCCTCCGAATTGGGCCACGATCAGCATTGCACACTGCCTGCCTGTTTATAATTAATTGTTTCCATTGTGTTTCACGTTCGTGAATACAATATTGTTGATATCAAATCGATAACCTTGGTATATTCTGATAAAGAGTACACAATACAATACTAGATTTGCTACTGATTTTATATTTAATTTTACTTTGATTTATTGATTTTAAATCAGTTTCGATTAGACTCGAAGTGGACTGTGGATAGAAACAATTTCTTTAAAAGGAAACTAATGCTTAATATTTGAAATCATTCTAATAACAACTCATCTCTTTTTCTCCAATTTTCCGTTTATTAGTGGTTAGACCTTTATATCCTATATAAAACTATTAAAATTAGCGTTTTCCTAATAATAAAGTAATCAAAAACAAATAGGCCGTTGAGTTTCATTCTAAAACAAGTTTAGAGGGCTATTAAGTTTATTATATAAAAATAAGTCGGGTTTTCCTTCCTGACGATATGACTCCAGAACGCACGAACTGATTTTGACAATTTTGCATTCGTTGGAAAGGTCTCGGGTTCCGTGAGTTTTATAGCAAAGAAAATTGAAGAAAAATTTCAACAGAAAAGCGGATAAATCCTTTTTCACATACAGCATCATCTCTGATACTTAGCATGTACTACAAACCAATATTTTAAGTAGATGGTGCCTGTAGATACATGTTTGACAGAAACTCATTTCCTTTTCAAATATAAAACAAAAAAAATGTCATCTTTCTCACGAGACCATCTAGTGGCGAAACGGAGTTCGCCGGGTTTGCTAGTAACATATGGAAACTTTATAATATTTTAAGATCCTTTGTTTTGTTTCAAATCCAATCTCGATCTGCAATCATCGGTGTCATGAAACACTACCTAGATAGAAAGTGTTAGGTTTGACAAGATTTTTACACATTCATTTTTTCCTTTTTGTCGTATTGTTAGCCTTATCTACATCACACATTAGCTCATTATTTAGCTTTCTATACCAAATGTTATTTGCGTTCTGCTTATCTTTAGGACTGAGTTAGTCACCTAAGCTTTTCTACCATTATTTTCTGTTTTCCACTATTTTTGATGAATAAACTACTTTAAATAAATAACTTTTGCAACCACAAGTTTCCAGATTCAATATCTACCTGGAACAACATGATATCAAGTAGTATTGATACCCATTTTCACTTGAAGCTATAGAGTTAAGTTGTGTGTCCAAGTGACAATAGCCATTCTCCGGCATTAAATTAAATATTATATCATGGATATAAGCGTATTAGAGAAATTTTAATAGAATTAAAAGATTAAATATGTTACATTTTATATCTTTTTTTATAAATTATAATAGTTGCGCCTATCATTTTTAATATATACTTATAGATATAAATGATATAAGTTATCACATAGAACTCTCAATTTATAATTATTTGTTTTTAATTTTTACGCCAATTTTTTATATTTAATATTACAATAATTAACATAAAATATTTAACAATTATTTGATTTTACTTATTGAAAGTTGAAAATGCGTGATTACATAACGTTTCAATCCAAAATCAATGAAACACGAGTTTTTAATATTTCAGTCTAAATCCTAATTTTTAGAATCAAGAATTATTTATTTTAATGCTTATGTAATATAAGACAATAATTATTTATTACTATATATTATTTCTATTATTAAAATAATTATATTTTAATCTTACTATTTTTATTATAATGAAAATCTATAACAAGTTTTTTAAATATGTCATTAAGAAAGCTTTCGTGTTTTCCAAAGCTTTTTATTTAAAATGATTAAATATCAAAGGTTGCTTATAAGTAATCACAAATATAATGAATTTAATGTTGTATATATACCATATAATATGTTTCAGTATTGAAAAAGATTTTTTTTTATACTTTGCATTAGAAATTCAATCTATACAACTCTGAATATTGCTCATGACCAGTATCTAATATATCTATTATTTTATTGAAATTACTAACCAAAATTACTGCTTCAATAATTTGTTTTAATTGTCGACAATAAACCCATTTTGAAATGAATATCATGGATTTGGCAATTATTAACTGTTATTAAATTTAATTTAAAAAGTAATGACTAAATAATATTCCATTATATTTTGCATTAATTTCCTAATCATTTTTTATTTCGTATCAAAATCTACGTGTCGTCAACCATAAATCTTTGATATAATTTTTAACTTCCCGTAGGGTAAGTTATAGTAATTCCAAAAAATCGAAAATGAAAACTTTTATATTTTTTCAGTTTCTGGACATTTTGGCATACCTTAAAAAAATGGATGTTTGTGTGTGTTCGTGTGTGCGTGTGTGCGGATACAAATTTTTGTCGACGATTTCGGGAACACGAATCAACCAATTTTTTCTTTTCTTCTCAATTTTACTAATTGTTTTTGGTAATTGATTTTTTATCCAATTTCAGCTACCGAGATCCTCGCTTCCCTTACAGACATCGACAGTCTCCACAAATCGTCATGAAGACTGAACCATCTTCTGCGGTTGTGGTACCTGATAACTTATCAGAGGGCTGTCGGTCTCCGGTCCAATCTGAAGATCATCTGGACCAACAACACTATTGCTTAAGATGGAACAACTACCAAAGCAATATGACAACGGTCTTCCACCAGCTCCTGAGGAACGAGGCGTTTGTGGATGTCACACTTGCTTGCAATGATTTGTCCCTGAAGGCGCACAAGGTTTGTGGAGAGAATTTTTGAAAACTTTTGATGTACTAACCCCGAAACCGCAAATTTATCTTTATCAGTATTTTGAATTTCGTAGTTTTTTATTGAGTTATTACTTTGTTTATTTTGCAATGATTTTTAGAAGAAATCTCGATGGTTTGCGATTGATTGGGCACCTGGGGCGTTTTGATACGATATCAAAAATTATTAGAAAACTATTGCGAAACATAATGGAATATTATTAATCATTACTTTTTAAATTAAATTGAACAGTTAATAATTGCCAAATCCATAATATTCATTCCATAATAGGTTTGTTGTCGAATAGTAAGAACAATTTAATAAAGCAGTAATTTTAGTTAGTAATTTCAATAATATAATAAATATTTTATATACTGGCCATGTGCAATATACAGAGTTCATAATTATAGATTAAATTTCTATAAGAAAGTGTCAGAAAAATTATTTTTTCAATACTGAAACATATTACATATATGGTATATTACACCGTAATACCAATTGTAATAGAGCCCTTCACATTTGTATTAAGAAAATTATATTAAAAAAATATGCCAATATTGTATCAGAGAGAAAAACAGATTTTTTGCAATTGAGTGAGAGTTAGATTCTTATACAATTTTTAAATAATTTTCATTAATGTCTAAATTATCTGCGTCTGTTCGAATACTATTAAAATATTGCTAATTAAATAAGATTAAAAAGTGAGCATTGAAAAAGAGTTCTAAATAAAAGTAGTGATGTATGGCATCGTGCCTCAATGCAAATTGCTGCAAATTTCCTAACCATAATGAAATATTCGAAAAATAATTGGAAATTTTTGGAAATTAGAAAAAAAATGCAAAAAAATTCTTTCCCCAAAAGCAATCGTTTTATCAACACAAGCAGAAAGTTTTTTGAATCATTTAAATCGGATTCTTAGTTCTCTCAAAAACTGCTATTTTTTGCATATTTAGCTACATATCTCCGAAACGGCTAGACCTGCCTTTGCCAAAATCTAATCACCACTTTACCTCATCATCACGATTTGAATGTTTTTTGGGTCATTTAAATCGGTTACACCGATCTCTCAAAAACTCGATCTGCACTCCTTGCTCCATATCTTCGGAACGTCTGGACCTACCTTTGCCAGAAACTAATCATCACATCTCCCTATCAATAGAAATCAAATATTTTTTGAACCATTCAAATTCACACACACATACATTTTCTAAGGTATGCAGAAATGTTCAGAAACCCCTGAAGATATGCAAAAATTTTCAATTTCAAGTTTTGGACGATTACAATAACTTACCTAACGGGAAGTTCAAAAAAGCATAATTTTTTTTGTAACTGTTGAATCGTTTTAGCTTTTTTCTTATTTTTGTCTCTTATTTTTGGTATTGTTATCACCAAAAAAAAAAACAAACCAAAAATCAACAAATAGATCTTTTGAAGCTTCTTAATTTCCCAAATCATATTAAATGATCATGATAATTACTTAATTTTAAAACTACTTATAGTAAAAATATACTTAAATCATATTGGTCAAATTTAGAATTTATTGTACAACTGAAATCGCTTATCTTCAGTTATAAACAATATTAATAGAGCTACACGATATAATATCTAAAATTATAAGTATTCCGTAATTATGTGATAAAATGATATCCCAATGATAATTAATTTTAATATTTCATATCGGAATTTTTAATATCTGCAGCAGTTCAATTCGCATCATCGCATAGTATTTTTCAAGCATTTCAAGTTATAATTACTTGCTTTTTCATTTTAAAGACACCTGTATTTTGCAACATGACCTTCAAGGCACTTATTGAGTAGAAAAATAACATATGTTATATAATTGATAGGAAGCATTATGGTTAAATTCGGTACATTATACGCCATCTAGAAAAGATTCTCCATAATGCGAAAGATATAGCTTCAAACCATTGACTGGGCTTTGCACCAACGGCTATAGGTATCTAGAAGGAAATATACAAACAAAATCTTGCAGTTTCCGTGTTGTTTTAGTAGAAAATCATACACTGAATAATGAGAATAACATCAAAACCATTTTAAATATTAACAATACTAATAGTGCATGGCATCGTGCCTTAAGGAAAATGGCTGGAACTTTCCGCATCAAATATTAAATTTTTTAAAAAAGATTCAAATTTTTTTTGAGACTGCGAATTCTAATTTTTTTGACTTTTTTGAAAAATTTGAAATATTTTGAAAATTTGAATTTTTGAAATTTTGAACTTTTTTTCAGCTAGCAATCGCGATACGGTAGCTGCGTTAAAACGAATTATATAAGCGCGTGAGCGCCGCGTCGCACTCTAACGGATAAACATTGGTACAGAACCCAAAGAAATGTAAACAAAATTATTTCTTATTATTAAAATATGTCGAAATCGTCGACGAAAACTTGTATCCGCACATACATACTTACACACGCACACACATACACACATACAAACACATCAATTTTTTCTAAGGTAAGCCAAAATGTTCAAAAACCTTTGAAACGTAAACATATATAAAAATTTTCATTTTCGATTTTTTTTCGATTACTATAACTCACAATACGGGAAAATTTAATTCCATTTCTTCCACTAATTTCATTTAATTCTATAATCTATTCTGCTACGATTTCAACAAATCAACCATTTCAAAAAATTGAACAATTAGCTATAAAGAAACTGTTCGGCCGATGTTTTTTAAAAACTAATCAGCAAGAATTAATCAGCATATCGGTTCAACATTTTTAGCTATCGGTTCAACATTTTTAGCTAAAACAAAAAATTTAGGATTTATTTTATTTATTTACTTATTTCATTTTATTTATTTTGTTTTATTACATAGTCCACAGATTTTCCTAGCTACTATAGGTCTTATACTGAAGCCTTCATAAAAATTGTAAATAAATTTTGAAATTTAATAAACCAACTAAAGTACAAGATTCAAGTACTATTTAGAGTAAGGTTTTTATCTATTTTTTTCGTTTTATTTTTATGGCGTTTTATTTTATATTTTCGATAACGATCATTGAATTTTTACAATTTCTGGTATATCTGTTACCGAGTATTTTATTTGAACTTTTTACTTTTAACTTTAATCCAGCAAATCAAACCCTTATTATGATCATTGATATGGATATGGAGGATAGTTTTATCCTTCAATAAAAATATTTTTCACAAAAATAAGTTAATCTTGCAATTAGATTGGTTTGATCTTTACAAAACTAGTATAAAATAATCGATCTACTCAAAATTCCATGAATGTTAAATAATTTAAGAAATTTTATGAAGACTTGGGAAAAAACTAATGTATTTAGTTATTTTAAAGATGTTGCATTCGCAATGATTTTTTTGCATATACGAGTATGTATATAAACCATGCAATTTTATATTTATATTATTATTTTTAATTAATTTAACAGGTAGTGCTTTCTGCATGTTCTGCTTATTTTCAAAAATTGCTGTTGGAAAATCCATGCAGTCATCCTACGATAATTATGCCCTCAGATATTTGTTTTTCGGATTTACAATTTATAATTGAGTTCGTCTATAGAGGAGAAATTGATGTATCGCAGGATGAATTACAGGTAAGTTATTCTAAAATATTCAAATTATATATATATATATATATATATATATATAATAATATATAAGCATATAATTCTCCCCGCGTTGAAGTAACCTACTTGTTTCAAATTTTATTAAACTAATTACATGTGTCTCTTGAAAGCTTTACTGGCTAGAGCTTTTTCTTTTTTATATATAAAAGCGACTAAACTTCTAATTAATTTAAATAATTTCAAACATAAATTAGTTTCTAAACAACTAAGATATTTAAGAAGAATCGGATTTATAGAATTAATTCTTTTTTAATTATTGGTCAAATACGATGTTTGAAGTATATCAAAGTCTACCTTAATATATAAATGTACGAAAGCTATGGATGGATGATATTTTGATGGTCCTCTATTCTGAATCAAACTGGTTTCAAGCTTTAAAGCTACCTTCTTTAAACATCCACCTGTAGCTCGGTCAGATCTTCAATAAAGCGGTTCTTAAAATGCGACGCTTTTAAAGCATTTTGTTCTTCAAGACATAGTAATATAATATACTCGCTCAAATGGAAAATATTATTATTACAAATGATGAATTTTGAAAATAAGAAGTAAGAATAAAGAATGAAACCAAGGAACTTAATTCGTACATTTAGAATATGCTTGATGTAGATATATTTGATACTATGTTATAAATATATGAGTTATTTGTATTTGTACCCATATTTTTATTATTATATGATATTAAATTTGTTCAATAATTTTTGTCCAATATGAGAATTCAACAACTATTTGAGAAACTTATGAAAAAGTATTTGGAAAAGGAATTTCACAAAAAAGTATTTTATTACAAGGCCAAATTTTTGTTATGTAGAAAAATACGGAAATTAATAATCCACGAATTTTACAAAGAAATTATTTTGTTAAAAAGAGATAGTTTTAATAAAAAATTGTGATAAATTACATATCAAACGAAAACTTAAATACCATAGGTAATTAATAGAACAATGTATAGTTATATTTATTCGCATTATTATTTCAGCCACATATTTAGATGCATAGAGAATACAATCAAAAGCACGATATAAAATGAAATTATCTCTAAACCTGGTGCATCGGGATGTATTTTCGATAACGATCATTGAATTTTTACAATTTCTGCACGTATATCTGTTACCGAGTATTTTTAATATTGATTATAATTTTTAATATATAAATATAAAAAATGATAAGTTTGTTTCATCCAAAATGATATTACAAATACCCCGAAAAATAGCGTATTGATTAATTCAATTCGTTCAAGAGCCCACAGCCAGAGCATATTTATAAAAGCTCTATTATTTCTAATAAAGAAGGCGATTTAAAAATACTAATAAGAACTTTTTCAAACAATTTGAATGTTGTTTTAAAATTACAAACTAACAGGTTGCTGACCTGACAACCAATAAGAGAGAAATATTTTAAATTTTAAACTTAAAAATTCACAATCTTTAAACATTCACTTCCAAAATGTCGATTTAATTTGGATTTTTTTATATTTATTTTTATTTCTTGAATGTTTTTTATTTGTTAATGTAGTGAATAATAATAATAAAATTCACAAAAAAAACTTGAATAATTAATTAATTACTTGAATTCATTTTCACATTTTGTTAATAAATTTGGTAATTTAATCTAAAATGTGATCTGAATATTGATGTCATTTTACCTCTGATGTGCTGAAATAAAAGAATCTTATGGGTTTCACTACTTTCAAATTTTTTACTATTGGTTCAATAATTTTGTTTTAAAAAAATATTTGTTAAGTAGGTGTAATCTCCCATTCAATAAACAATGACTAAAAATTTTTAATCTTAAGTGAAATTTGTTGAAATGTTTAGTAGGGTTCGACTAAAATTATGAATACGTTCAGTGAAGGTGCAATTAAATTTATAAATGATTTATTATTTCTCAAAACATTCTATTTCTATTTTATTATTATAAATTGTTATCTTTTTGTTGATCGTTTTTGCTTTTAATGCATTGTGAAGTGTTTTAACAATTCATTGTTCACTTCTTTCTGCGAACTTGAGTAAGCTTTTCTAAATTGTCTGGTTCACTGGTGTTATTTTAAACATATTTTACTAGTTTTTTCTCATGTTAATAACCAAAATATATGTGAATTAAATTAGATAATTGCTATTTTAGACTAATTAATTGCTAATAATTTCTTTAAGATTGAAAATCAATTCCTCTTGAAAATCAATCAAATGTAATCGTTTTAAATCAAATAGGATCACAGAGTAGGATGGACTCACAGTCATCGTAACAAAACAACATTTTCAACCTTAATTGAATTTTTTTGAAATGTTAGTAGAGTTTATTTCAACCCTCACTACCAAAATTCTGGATACGTTCAGTGCAAGCACAATTAAATTTATGGATGATATAAATTCTCAATCTATTTCTATGCTTATGGTTTTTAATGGTTATCTTTCTCATTCTCATTATAAAGTCTGATGTGTTTTAACAATTTATTGTTCACTTCTTTCTGCGAACTTGAGTAAGCTTGTATGAATATTTCGAAATGTCTGGTTCACTGACAATATTTTAAATATATTTTTCTTAGCTTTTTCTCATACTTTAAAAACCAAAATATGTATATCTGGATTGAATTAAATTATTGCTATTTTGGGGTGATTATTTGTTGATAATGATTTGAATATTAAAAATCAATTCCACCTAAAATCATTTGAAATCAAATGCAATCGTTTAAAATCAAATACGATCGCAGAGAGTAGTAGGATGGACTCGCAGTCATCGTAACAAAACAAAAGCAGAAAGTCGGTCTGTTGGCGGTCCCGTGGCTAGCATTCGCATCGCATCCACTATTGTATGCTCGTGCTGCACGGGACGCGCGGCTCGATTTTTTTTTCTACAGGAATTTTTAAATGAAGGCGGCAGTTTAATTTCCGAAGCAACGAAGCTGGCTGGGATACGTTGATCTCCCTTCAACAACAAGTTAGGTTCGCAGGTTGGAATACAGTGTTTTTTCGCGCTGTCAAGTCAAAAATTATTATTCCCGTCTCATTCTGTAGTACCAGCGGGTTTTCGATGTGTTCAAGCCGTTGGGCTGTGTGTATGCGAGCGTGGCGGCAGGCATGCCGGCATGTACTTCGTGTACCCTCTCGATCCGATGCGATGGGCGAACCATCCTTCGTTTATTAAACTGTGGTGATACAGGTGCTTTTAAACGTGGGCTACGAAAATATCTACCTGACTAATTTCGACTACCGTTCCCGTATGTAAGAAATGATTTTCAAATACCTTCCAAAACCTTATTGTCCCATCCCAAAAATTCTTTAGAACATTTATTTTATCACAAATCAAATAAAAATAAAAACATTTTTGAGTTCTTAAAATAACTACTTTTAATTTTTATGAATTGAACAGTTAATATCCTTAAAAATTTTGGTTTTTGGAACAAGCTTAACTTATCAGCCGACATACAATCTATAACACCGTTAATATAACAATCATATGTCACAAAATGCTATCTTGTCAAGAACAATCTAGTCTAGAATAATCGTTAATGTTGGTCTTTCCCCTCTGAATTCGGAAGTTCAAACAAATTTATCGTCTAATTGTAAACACTTACCGAATTTTAAAAATTAAATTTATTATTAAGTTTTCGCAGCGAGATATATGACAATGACCATTTACACTTTAACTTTTCTTCCTTTTCCTTGAAACACCGGTCTCTAGAATGTTGAAGGAAAAGATTCCAAAAAAATAATATTCAAGCTATAAACGATTTAGCTTCACAACAATTTTGGAGTCCTGAATTGAAGAGCCGATTCTGCCGTAAAATAGACCAATGTGATGACAAAGCTATGTTACGCAGCGCTTCTCATACAGAATAGTACTAAATACTATCAAAATGCCACTTTAACTTTTCTTCCTTTTCCTTGAAACACCAGTCTCTAGAATGTTGAAGAAAAAGATTCCAAAAGATAATATTCAAGCTATAAACGATTTAGCTCCACAACAATTTTGGAGTCCTGAATTGAAGTGCCGATTCTGCCGTAAAATTGACCAAATGTTATGACAAAGTTATGTTACGTAGCCCTTCTCATACAAAATGGTACTAAATACTGTCAAAATGCCACGTGGTTGCTATGCGGTTTCAATAGAAAACGTAGCCTAGACAACGCACAAATGTCAAATAAATAAATGTTATCATAACTGCATCTTTTTTATGTGGCATAATAACGTATAAATAAAGTTCCATTTTATGTGTAAAACGCCTTATCGCACAACAAATTCATGGCATTTTGACAGTATTTAGTACCATTGTGTATGAGGAATGCTACGTAACATAGCTTTGCCATAACATTGCTCTATTTTACGCCAGAATCGGCCCCGGAATAGCTAAATCACTCATTGGAGTGACAACTATTGATTTACAAAAATTTAGTGCAATAAATTCATGTGCAAGTATTAGTAAATTAACTGAAAATAACTCATAGATTGTTGTTTATTCCGATTGCTGTTGAAAATAAAATAACAAAGAGAAATTCGTCCTATAATTATTATTTCTAAGATATTGGCGGTTTTTTGAGTGGCAATTCAAAATTTTATGAACATGTAATTGATGCAATTTTGAAAAAGCGTTAAGTTCGATATTCGTCCTATAATTATTATTTCTAAGATATTGGCGGTTTTTTGAGTGGCAATTCAAAATTTTATGAACATGTAATTGATGCCATTTTGAAAAAGCGTTAAGTTCGAATGATACATAGGTTCACTTTTGAAGCAGGGATGAAAATATTTTAGTACCTCTGCGATTGTATACCATATACAACATTTGCGTATGCGTGTGTTTGTGCAAGGATTTGTGCTTGTGGGTATGTGGAAGTATTGTCCGTGTTTCGATACGATTCCTGTGCGGTTGTGTGTGCATGATTCTTTCCTTGGGCATGCAAGCGGCGCGCAGACAACCTTTTCCATCTTACTCTGGCGCATTTCAACCCCAGTTCCAGGCAGCCGTTGCG